AACATGTATAATGTATATACATATAAAGTATACAATATATGTATATATACATATTATACATCTATAATGTGTGTGGATTTTCATATATAGTTATTAACACATGAGTTACATTGGATTTCCAGGTTTGTAACTTGTTAAATTTTTATGTGTTTTTAGTAATACATGTACATAATAAAAAGGAAGTATATATTAAGGGTGGGGATGAATCCCACCTGTACCTCCCCCTGGGGACCAGCACCGTCCAGTAGAACCTTTTATGAAGATGGAACTGTTCTATTCTGTATGGTCCAGTACAATAACCACCCACCACATAGGGTTCCCGAGCCCTTGAAATGTGGGTGGTGTGATGGAGGAACTAAATTTGTAATGTAATGTAATTAATTTAAATTTAAATAGCCACATTTAAAGGCCACTGTGGCTAGTGAGAAATGCAAAGATAATCAAGGCCCACAACCTTGGAGATTTGGAAATCGGACTATTGTCACACACTAATTTGTGCTAAGGAGCTATTTCAAGGTACGCTAACTGGGCATGATGTTTCTCTGATGCCCCAGTTCTGTAATCCTTAGAGCCAGCCCAGTGGTGATCTCCGAGTCTGCGACTAAGCCCACATGCTCTGGTGTTTTGCAGTCCCCCCTCCATCAGCCCCTCAGTGCCGGGCAGAGATGTCACAAGGATCACTCATGCTGCAGCTCACCTGTCGCTGGGACGGGGGATACCCAGACCCGGACTTCCTGTGGACAGAAGAGCCAGGAGGTGTGGTCGTGGGGACGTCAAAGCTGGGAGTGGAGATGCTGAACCAGTCCCAGCTGTCAGATGGCAAGAAGTTCAAGTGTGTTGGGAGCCACATAGTGGGGCCGGAGCTGGGAGCCAGCTGTGCAGTACAGATCAGTGAGTCTGGCTTGCCTCGTCCCGGGTTGGGGTCCACCCGTCTTTATTCTGAGAGAACCGTTTGCAAGGTCTGGGAAAGAAATCCCAAGATATCGCAGTGAACTGAATTGTTTCTTCTTTTGCTTTGTGTTTCCTTCCTTTCAAACGTTAAAGATGCCTAACCAAGCTTCTTGGTTCTCATCCAAGCTGTTTTCCACTCTTGACAGATACTAATTAAGCACCTGCTATGTGTCAGGTACTGTTTCCAGGTATTGGGGATGGAGTGGTGAACAAGATGGGCGTGGTTCATTTAGTTATGTAACAAACAGCCCCAGAATTAATGGCTTACAACAACACATCATTTATTTATCTTATGATTTCTGTGGGCCAGGAACTCAGACAGGGCACAGTGGGTTTGTCTTGGCTCCATGATTCCTGGGTCTTAGCTGCAAGACCTGGTTAGGAGGGTTGAAATTGTCTGAAGGATCTACTTCCAAGGTGCTCACCCACATGCGTGGCAGGTTGCTTCCTCTCCATGTGGGTCTCTCCACAGGGCCCCTTGACTGTCTTTACAATATGGTGTTGGCTTTCCCCAGAGCAAGTGATGCAAGAGGGAGCAAGCCAGGCCGACGCTATCCTTTCTCTGAACTACCTAGCCTCAGAAGTCACATGGCATCCCGACTGCCTCTTCTGTTCGTTAGAAGTGAGTCACAGTCTGACTCTACTTTCAAGGGGAGTGGGTGGAATTGGGCTCCACTTTTTGAAGGGAAGAGTGTCACATGATTCCTGGACGTGTATTTGGAACCACGACCACTCATCCTTCATAGATTCTTCTGTGTGGGGTGGGGGTGAGAGGAAGACAAAGTCCAAACACAAGTAAGGTAGGCTCAGATAGTGATAGTACTTGTGAAGAGGATGAAATGGGGTGTGTGAAAGAGTCTCTTCTAGGAAGAGGGCCACTGTTCCTCAGGGACAGGAAGGTCTCCTTGTGGCGGTAGCGTTTTGAGAAGAGACCTGAAGGATGGGAAGGAGCTGGCCGGGTGGGCTGAGTGTTCCTGGCAGAGGAAATAGCAAATGCTGAGGCCCTGAGGTGGAAATGTACCTGGCATTTGACGAACTGAGAGAAGGCCAGTGTAGCCAGAGGGCCGTGCATGAGGTATCCATGAGGCTAGATGGCTGTTGTGGGTTGAATTGTGTCTCCCCAAAAAACATCTGTTCAAGTCCTAATCCTGGCTACCTGTGGATGTGGCCATATTTGGAATAAGAGTCTTTGCGGGTGTGATGAAGTTAAGATGAGGTCATACTGGGTTATGGTGGGCTCTATTCCCGCGACTGCTATCCTTACAAGAGGGCCATTTGGACACAGACACACGGGGAGAATGCCACATGATAATGGAGGCGGGGACTGTAGTGATGCCTCTGTAAGCCCAGAATGCCCATGATGGCCGTCGACCGCCGGAAGCTAAGACAGGCATGGGATGGTGTCTCCCTCGGTAGCCTCCAAAGGAATCAAGCCTGCTGACACCTTGATTTCAGACTTCTGAGTTTTAGAGCCATGAGAGAATGGCTCTGTTGCTTCAGGCTACCCGGTTTGTGGTGCTTTGTGATAGCAGCCCTGGGGATCTAATACAACCGGACGCAAGGACCAGAGAGTGTTGGGTTTTGTTGGCCGTGGGGAGGATTTTCCTCACGGCCTGTCAGGATAATTTACCTCAGAGGGGCGGCTGTGGAGCGCTGGCCTGCTGAGAAGAGAGCCTTGCTGTTCCAGGAGGTGCTTGTTGTCCCAGGCAAGTGGCATTCACATGGCTGTCCCTTCCCCACTGACTCATTCAGCAAACATGTCCCGAGTGTCTGATCTGTGTCCGGTACCTGGCTGGCCTCGGGCAACAGAAGGGACAAGGCTTACTTTCTGCATTACAACAGGGCTTGGCACACGATGGCCCATGGGCCAAATCCAGCCCAACTGGTAGTTTGCAATTTTATTTTTAATGAGATACAACTCACATAACATGAACTTCACTATTTCGAAGCGTATAATGTGGTGGTTTTACGTACATTCACAACGTTGTACTTAACCATCACCGCTGTCTACTTCCAGAACATTTCCATCACCTCACAAAGAAGCCCTACCCACTGGCGGTGATTGTGTGCGAGTACTTCGTTCCCAGGATTTCCATCGATGTGGAGTGTTACCATTAAATCATTAATTTTTTTAGACTTTTCCTATTTGTTCATTAGGACGTGGCATAACTGTTTTAATTTGGGTTTCTTTGATCCTGGTGTGGTTGGCAATTTTCATATGCTTCTTGCGTCCCTATATATCATCTATGAATTAATCTGTTCATATCTTGTCTGTTTTTCTATTGGGTTCATCTTTTCCTATTATTCCCTAAGAGTACTTTATATTAACTTTATCAGTTAATTTCATAGAACTGTCGTGCCTGTCATAGGTATTCTTCTGTCCTCCTTGGCTCCTAAACTACATTTGTGCCTCATCCCTGCTGTGATCCGCAGTTTCTGATTTTGAAGGGGTCACCTCTGTCAGTCCTGCTCTTTTAGGGTTTAGGGTTTTCTTTGCCTGTTTCCAGATCATTCACATGTTGTTTGTAAGCCTTGCAATAGCCTGCAGGTTAGACAGGACGTTTTGTAAGTTGCAGATGTGATGCGGTGTGAACCGACTTACCCAAGATTCACCTAGCTTGTAAGTGATTGAAGCCAGCACTTAGCCCAAGCTGGGCTGACCCCAGAACCCTTGCCTCCCTCGGGGACCCCCTTCCTTGGGACCTAGTCCAGCAAATCTTTTTGGGTAAGAGCTATGTACTTAGCGTGGCACCGGGTCCCGTGGAGGAATACCGAGTCCTGACCTTTGAAGGTCTTAAAATTTACTTGGAGCGAGAAGTCCGAGAACCATGAAATAGGCAATATCAATAATAGTGACATTGACATTTACTGAGTGCAGAGCGTGTGCAAGGTGCTGTGCTCGGTGTTTTCCACACGGTCTCTTGCTTGTTCTCACAATCACCCTAGGAGCTGAGTGCTCACATCACGGATCTCTAGGGGAGACCTTACAGTTCCCTGTGTCCAAGTCAGATCAGACCCCAAGGCCACAGGGATGCTGCATTGGGAGCTGTCTAGGACAGACCTGTGATAGACAGACTAATGTTCCCCCTACAGAGATGTCCATGTCCTAATCCCTGTGACTTTACCCTACATGGCAAGAGAGACTTTGCAGCTGGGATTAAGATCTTGAGATGGGGAGATTATCCTGGATTATCGGGGTGAGCCCCATGTCATTACATGGGTCCTTCTAAAAGGGAGGCAGAAGGGTGGGACTCAGTAGCAGGAGACATGATGACAGATGTCAGAGGTTGGAGTGGGGCAAGGAGGGGCCAGGAGCCAGGGAATGCAGGTGGCTTCGGAAAGCTGAGAGAGCGAGGAAATGGATTCCCACCCCCCCCGGGGGCCTCCAAGAAGGAATGAGCTCTGCCAACACCTTGATTCCAGGCCCACAGGATCATTTCCAACGTCTGACCTCCAGAACTAGAAAAGAATAAATGTGTGTTGTTTTAAATCAGTTTGTAGCAGTTTGTTACAGCATCAATAGGAAATGAATATAGCTGCCTCATTGTCCCCTCAAGCACTCCTGGCAGGCTGTGCACCCATTCTTTGTATGAGCAACGTGGCTATGATGCATGCAAGCCTAGAGTGTAGATGAGGAATGTGGGCTACAAAAGCCTGGCAACTTGGGCTTACAAGAGTAACCAACTCGGGGCTCCTGGGTGGCTCAGTGTCAGTTGCATGTCTGACTCTTTTTTTTTTGATAAAGATTTTATTTATTTATTTGACAGACATAGCGAGAGCAGGAACACAAGCAGGGGGAGTGGGAGAGGGCGAGCAGGCTTCCCGCTGAGAGGGGAGCCCAACTCGGAGCTCGATCCCAGGACCCCGGGATCATGACCTGAGCCGAAGGCAGACGCTTAACGACTGAGCCACCCAGGCGCCCCGCGTGTCTGACTCTTGATTTTGGCTCAAGTCACGATCTCAGGGTTGTGAGCTCGAGCCCCACATCCAGCTCCGTGCTCAGTCGGGAGTCTGCTTGGGGTTTTCTCTTTCCTTCCTCTGCCCTTTTCCCCGCGCGCACTCTTTCTCTCCCTCCCTCTCTCTCAAATAATAAATAAAATCTTAAAAAAATTTAAAAAGTAACCAATTCATCCTGGTTTGCCCAAGACTTTCTCAGTTTTCTCACTGAAAGCTCCGTGTCCTAGGAACCCCCTCAGGCTTCAGCAAACTAGGACAGTTGGTCACCCAAAATCCTAGGGGCACCACTTATTTGGTTGTGTGACTTTGAGCAAGTAACTTAACTTTCTCTGGGTCTCAGTTTCCTTATCTGCAAAATGAGGTAGTAAGTTTAACAGTGCCTAGCCCATAGTAGATGCTCAATAAATGTTAGCTTTTATTATTACATGAGACCAAGTGCAGGACAGAAATTCCTGGAGTTGCTTCATCAGGAAGGTAGTAATATTCTTGAAAATCTCAGGCCATGGTTTGAGTCTCCCTGAACGTTTGTCTTTCTTTACGTTCTGATCACCAGGGAGCCCCTCCCTTCTCTCTGAGCCCATGAGGACTTGCTTCGTGGGGGGCAATGTGACGCTCACCTGCCAAGTGACTGGAGCCTACCCCCCTGCCAAGATCCTGTGGCTGAGGAACCTCACCCAGCCTGAGGTGGTCCTCCAGCCCAATGGCCACTATCTCATCACGCAGAATGGCCAGATCTCCAGTCTCACCATCCGCAACTGCTCCCAGGCCCTGGATGAGGGCTACTATGTCTGTCAGGCTGAGAACCCTGTGGGGGTGCGGCAGGTGGACATCTGGCTGACCGTGAAAGGTGAGTGAGGGCAGGGGCCCCAAAGGAGGACGGTGAGAGCTTCAGAGGACCAGGCACCAGCATGGGGACAGTTTGGTTCTTCCCTATTACGCGGGTCACTGCCACTGGGGAGAAGGCGTATCTGCTTGACTGTGACTTGATAAGGTGGAAAAACTATTATCCAGTCGTAACTCTCTAACATTGCATGGGGATAAAAAAAAAAAAAAGAATTTATGTTGGGGCGCCTAGCTGGCTCCATCGGAAGAGCATGTGACTCTGGATCCCGGGGTCATGTGTTGGAACCCCACACTGGGTGTAGAGATTGCTAAAATAATAATAAAATAAAACTTAAAAAAATAATAACTTGTTACATCCCAAAGAATATATATATTATAAATATAAAATACATAAAAAACAAAAAATGTAAGTCGTGAAGCATAATAGCAAAATGCACACCTGAGAAACTACCATCCCGCTTAAGATACAGAGGGGTGCCTACAATGCTGAAGTTATTTGTAGGTAGCGTGGCCAGATTTAGAAAATGACAACAAAGCTAAAAAAAAAAAAAAAAAAACAAACCAGGATGCCCACTTGAATTTGCATTTTAGAAAAACAAAGCATTTTTTAGTGTAAGTATATCCCACATTTTCCATGGGACATACTTATTCTAAAACAGGATTCATTGTTTATCTGAAATCCAAATTAAATGGGCATGTTGTATTTTTTTCGGCCAACCCTACCTCTAGACCCCTTTCCAGTCTCATCCTGGGCCTCCTGAAAAAGGTAAGCAACTATCCTGAATTTTTTTATTCAAGAAAAATTTTACTACATAGTGAAATCCTTGCTGTTTCCACTCCACATTTTGTTCCTAGGGTTTATTCATGCCAACATGTGTAATTATACTTTGTACCTCTTCACTGCTGTAGGATTTTCTACTGTGTCATGGTTCCACAACTAAGTTACTAATTTTCCTGCTGATAGACTTTGGTATTGTTTCTGATTTTGATGTTGTTGTTGTGATGAGCAAAAGTGTTGCCATGAAAATCTTTTACCCAGCTCCTTGTGTACACATATATAGCAGGTTCCTAGGCAAATATTTCTCTAGGATATATGTAGAAGGAATAGAAAGGAAGGGTTATGCACATTTGTATCTTTCTGGGATAATAGCAAATCATTTTCCAAAGTGGTCGTACCAATTTCTATTCACAGCAGCAGTATTGAAGAGTGTTGAGTTGTTCTGCATTTTTGCCTTCAGGCTTTGTGATTTTTGCCCATTAAGTACATGTAAAATGGAATCTTACTGTTCTAATTGGCCCTTCTGTGTTACCAAGAAGATTGAACATTATTTCATATGTTTGCTATTTGTGTTTCTTCTGTGAAATACTCACTGTGTCTTTTGACATTTTCCCCTTTCTTACAGATATGTAGGAGTTCTTTAGAAATTCTGCATACTAATTCCTTGTTAGTTTTACATGTTACAAGTATTTCCTTTTAGCTTGTTTGTCTTTTTTTGCTTTCTTTTTGGTATCCTTTGATTAGCAGACATTCTTACTTTCATGTAGTTAATTTTATGGATCTTATATCATTAGCAATTTTTACATCTCAAGAAATCTTATCTCCCCCACGGCCACAAAGATACTATCCTATACTTTCTCCTAAAAAGTTTTAACATTTTGCCTTTTACAGTTAAATCTTTAACCCATCTAGAATTGATTTTTGTGAATGGTGTGAGGTGTGGGGATTGAGTTTCTCCCCCGCCCAAATTTGGATAGCCATCGATTCCAGCACCATTCTTGAATAATTCCTCTTTTACTCACTAATCTATCATCTATCAAATTTTCTTTTACGTGTAGTCTGTTCTTGGGTTCTCTATTCTGTTCCATTCATCACTACTGTTTATCATGGGACCAATAGCTCACCTTCTTCATTTCGGTGGCCTTATAAACAGTCTTGATGTCTGGAGATTTTAACCTTCCAGTCTTCCTTTGCATCACATGCTTTCCACAAACTGTCTGAGGTCGGGAAATGAGATATTTATCTTCTTTACGGAGAGGTCATATGCCTTGCCGGATATCATGGAACCAAAACAAAACTGAGACCCAGGCAGAGGAAGGGAGCTGTTGCTCTTTGACCAGCACGTCAAAGAATCAATGGAATGAATCAGTAGTGTGATTTGTCGGGGCACCTGGGTGGCTCAGTCGTTAAGC